AAAAAATCTTAACTCCTGTCTGTGCTGCTCATTATAATCTCTCCACAGAAACCCCATAATATTTTCTTAATGTATGCCACCCAGGAACAAAATAATGCATCTCCTCTGACTTCCTCCAACCCTTGACAGAGTGACATTTTCATATAACACATATAGAGCCTTCACATAGTATTGGCCAACAATCATCCTCATAAAGATGGCTGACCCTTAGCACTGGGATAGATTAGAGACACCAGAGATTTTTCTGCCACCCAAGAAAAAACAGGTCATTGTTGGAAAAAAAGTTACCACTAAAATTTGCTTATTATAACTTTGCCTAAACTTTGTTTCTATAACATGCCTAGGAAACATCATTTACTCACGGAGTCCCTTGGCTAAGCTAATGCATGAACAATGAGACTGCTGATGTCATTCACTGTCACCCCCCTCAGGACATCACTGGAGGCAGTATTGTCCTCTTGCATCATACTCCCTCCAGAATTCAGATTATAATTAACACTTTGAGACATTTCAGCCCCAATGCTAAAACCCAGTGCTGCTGTGATTAGTGACAGTCACATTGGACTTGCTCCTGCTTTTAGAAACAAATGTGAAGCAGAAGCCATAAAAATTCCTAGATTTAACATAAATTTTGTGTGGCACAGATGAACTATTTACTCATTAAGGTATACAGAGATCCCGCTGCAAAAAAACAGAAGTATATCTGGTAGACAGAGAAATACTGTTAGAAGAAGATAACAGTTCAGGTTCAGGAGCTAACAAGGGAGTATCACAAGTGCATAAAAATAACTTAGAGGAGGGCAAAAATGCAGGAGTCACCAAGTTCTGATGAAAAAGCAGAGACCTTGCATACAGAAAAAAACCATAAAATACTTCTACCATTTACATGAGACAAGAGGTTTAAAATGTAAGGTAATGGCATAGGAAATCCTAAAATAAGAGTGATCTAAAACTGAGAATAGTGGCCAGCAACAAGACCTGAATAGCACTGATGCTGGTAACAGCATCTTTTTATCCTAAGTTTTGCAATATTTGGAACAATTTTTGAAGACAGCTCCTGGAGTCATGTGAATACATAAGAATCTCAGCTTTCATTTAAAAAAAAAAAATAGAAAAGTTGGGCCTGGAAGAGAGTTTTGGATGTCCCCTAGTCCAACCCCTTGCTCAAGGCAAGATCATTCTTATATAAACTGCTCTGTACAAACTGCTCTCATAGTGGTAGAAAAATATATTAAATAATAGGAATCCAATATGTAGTATTTAAAAAAAGTCTCATGAATATTGAGACAAATAACATAATTTTAGGGGGAAATCTTTGAATGCCTAGCATTGGCAGTGCTGTGCCAATATTCACTATTCCCATTTGCACAATGTTGGCAGTAGTTACAAAAGGAAGATCATTCTGGGAAGAAATAATCCACTTTCACCCATTTCCACTTAGCTTTCCTGAAGTCAACAGGGTTTTATAGCTGTGCCTAAAGACAAATGTTAAGGAAGGTCCACAGACTTTATGCATAACACACTAGTTTGAAAGGAACAGACTACCTTTTAGCTATCCAGTTATCCTGCTTGCACAAATGAACTGGCGGACTGTAAAAGACTTTAAAGAAGCAAAATAGGTTTTACATATTATTGCAGCTAAAGCAAAGGCACAAAAATCCTATACAAAAACTAGGAGAAAGTTTCACAGAAATAGAAATCTGCTAGTCTCCAGAAATCCAATCTAGTGCTTTGCCAACTGGAGCAGATGAATATGTAATTGCAGTAGGCTGGATGAGGGTTATATATATCCAAAGTATACTCATCCAAAGAAGGTCTTATGCATCTGTTATGTTTGCTTAATTAATATTTGCAAATCACAGGGACCTTCAGATTATAAAAAGTGCTACTAAAATCCAAGTAAAAAATAATACTTTGGGGTATATTTCAAGAATAAAGAGAGGAAGATTTAGATGCTAAGAGACTGCAAGTGAAGTCTGGTCAAGTCTAGACATTTAACAACTGAAAATCAGGCCCCAAAAGATCAGACTGACTTAATCAGAAATTTGAGATTCTTCTGGTTTTTGAGCATAAACATCACCCCACTTGATGTTTTTAAGCTATCTTCAGCAACCACATGATCTACAAAAAAACCCCACTAGGTGTGACAATGCAAGTTAGTCACACTGACCAGCTTTAAGTGCTTTAGCACAGGAGGTTCATCTCAGCAAGGTATTTAAGCCCCTCTCTGCAACTGAAACCAATAGAGATGACATGCTTAACTACAGCTAAGATTCTAGGCCTGAATAATGAATTAGAGACCCCCAGGAGGGAGTTCAGGGGACAATATGGTGTTGTTACCTATGCAAGCAAGAAACATAATGGCACCCACAAAGACCAAGTCTCCCTCTACATTTAAACAATGCTTTCAGCTGGGAGTTTACAAACATACAGAAGGGGTCTCCGTAGGTCACTAGGTCCAGTCACCTGCCATTGTAGGGAAACATTGCATAATACACTAAGCAAGTTCCAACTTAAAACTACATAGGTATTTTGCTTTCACTGTTCTCATTGGAAGGTTGGTGCAGACCCTTTTTAAGAGGAATGCTGTAATTCTCCTGCATTACCTTGATTTCAGAAACTACTAACTTCACGAAAAACAAACAAACAACAACAGCAACAAATCTCACAATTAAATGGTGTGATGGGTACACAGCAGTGAAAAGACATCAGTATGATGAAGAGGACAGCTTTCCAGACAGCTAAAACTGTTGTAAGTAGAATACCTCATACTCACAATGCATCTTCCATGAAAAATCTCCCAAGTGCTATGTAAACACTAAGTAAACCAGTGAGATATTGTTGGAAAGCAGATTTATGTTCATTGTATACATGGTAAATTGAGGCACAGAAAATTAAGCAAGTCTGTAAAACCTAAAGACACAGACCCAAATTAAGTACTGCAGACACTTAAGAGTTTTGAAACAGGCAGCTAAGATTCCTTCTCGCGAGTACAACAGCAACTAAGAGGTACATTGCACCATGCCCCATATGCCCTGATAAATATTGGCAAATACAAAGTCCTGGCTCCCCTCCCTATCTATCAGGAGCCTAGTGATTCAGGCTAACATGAAACAATGATTTCACATCCTAGTTACCATTTGGTTTGTTCTTGAGCAAGGTGTCATTGGATTGGGATACAAACTGTCTCCTCTTTTCCTCTACCATCATGGCAAACACAAATCTCCCAGGCAACACTGAGTCAGCATGTAGATGTAAGGAAAAGAAATTTTCTCCCAGACTAGTGCCATGTCCACGAGAAGGCACTTGTGTACAGGTGCACCTGAAGTGCTCTATACAATTCTAGTCAGTCTCTTCTAGAAGGAGCAACAGTGCAGCAAGGCTGACTCTGAAATGATTCAGGGTTTTGTGGGTATGAGTAATGAAGAGCAATTTTCCAGGTTTGGCCTATTTCAAGGGTAGGACAGAAAAGGATCACTTCCAACAAGCAGTTGGTAAGACTGTATTTTCTCACATACTACACATCCCAAATGTTTTGGGGAATACAGAATAAAGAAAAGACACATTCTAAAATCACAGAGACTAATCTCCAGTTTACTTATCCTCCCTTTCCTGTTCAGGCAAACGCTACAGTTTTAACACTGCCTCATCAAAAGCTGTAACTGTAGCTGCTGATGAAGACTGGATTCCATAGGCAGAGTTAGGATTTTGAAAAGAGAGAAAAAAACAGTCCACAGAGCTACAAAATAGAAGAAAGATCACAAGTAGCTAATTCCTTAGCAAAACTGCTCAAGAAAGAATAACTTGATTAATGGGAAATGAAGACCATTAAAAAAAAGAGAAAGGCATTAACACCTGTGGAGTGAAGGACAACTAACAGGAATTAAGTGGATTATGATGAGCAGGGATCTGGGTTTTCTGTTTCCTGCAAAATGGAAAGAAATGTGGATTTTCCCTTTTTACCAAGAAAACTGCAGATTTTTCATTTTAACGGAGAAATATACAAATTTTCCACTTTTGCAGAGAACTCTCTGCAGGCTGACAAAGTCTCACTATATATATATAGTGGTGTTACATTTTAATTGCGGATTTGGGGTTTTTTAATCAGAGAATTTGCAATTTTTAAACAGAAAAACAGGATCCCTGAGAATGAGCTATGAAGCACTGCCTGAGTAGAAATGCCACTACTTCTACTATGAGCAGAAAATCAGCTTCCTCCCTTAAGACACAGGGAATTCTTGACTTATTTGTTTTAGGAGAAAAGGTGTGTGTAGTATTTGGATAATTATGGCAGCAAATACTTGTAATTCACAACAGAAGTTATTATGGAATTAAAATGAAGGACAGGCTTCTCATAAGAACTTCAGGACAAATTTATTTTATATGGAGTGCAATTGAAATGCAGAGTATAATGGCAATTCAGTATTCAGATTCAGCAGACATGCAGAAACATTTTTGAAAAAGGAGAATCAGATACTGTTGTCACAAAGGATTTGAAAATAAAAAAGATAGGATAAAGGTTGAATAATTTACTTATAGATAAATATCGTATTATTACAACTGTCCCTTTATCTAGCTGCAAGTGGTATAGAAATCTTGAAAAAGGAAAAAAAGTCTCCATTTTGAATTCTATACTCCCCTGTTCTATTTTTCCTAAGACTATTTTTGACTACGGAGTACTATGATCTTCAAGTCATGAAAATTCATGTACATCACTTAGAGGAATATTACTCAATCTATTTATATTTTGATTTGCCATTTGGCCAGGGTCCCTAATCTGTCAATCAATATTATAAATGTCTGCCCTATGCCAACTAACTAATGAGTTCATCTTCCATCATGAAGTCACAAGCTATCATTCTGCATGTCACATCCTGTAGACATCAGGTTGACATGTCCCATACGTGAGTAGTCAGCAAAAATAACAAAAACACGCTTCCATTATACATGAAGTCTTAAAAATGAGGAATAAATAGAAGAAACATCTAATCAGCACTCACCACCAAGGCTTTAGACCTATTGCTTAGTAGTTTTTCAATATCTCTGGCTGCAATTTCCACCAACTGGCGTGCATTGTTGGCTTCCACGGTATACAAATCTCTGTGTGTCATATAAATCTGCAAAGGAAAAAAACAGAAATAATTCATAAGCTCAAGAAGGACCCATTTATTTAATAAAACAAAATGGCCAGAATGGGAAACAGAACCATATGCTACTAATCCTTCCATATCAAAAAAGACTAAATTGTTTTCTGCAAATCACACCCTCTCAGGTAGAAGGTGTCTACATGTGCCCACCAACTGAGGGAGTTAATGAGTATAACAGAAGATGAAATTCATTCTCATTGTAATACTAATTCAATATTTTCTATATTAATATTTGAGTGGCATGCCTATCAAGCTATTTTTATTGCTGATTATTTGTATTGCAGTAGAGCCTAGAAGGTCAATCAAAGATTACATGCCACATACTGTCAAGCACTGTACACATGTATAATGAACACAGAGCCCTATACCCCAAAAACTTTGGATTTCTCTATACTTCTAGTCTCCTAAATGGAAAGAGTCTTACTACCTTTATTACCCACACCACAGTGAGGGTTTAAGATATGTGTGGGTACTTTGAAGAACAAATTTCAGTTCTGCAACGAACTGAGCACACTTAAACCAGTGAGAATGGAGGGTTCATGGACTGTCCCTGAAAAGTGGTAGTGATTGCAGGATTGAGCCCACATTAAAAAAAAAAATTATTAAATGATACTGGGTGCCTCAGGTTTCCTTTACTCAGCTCAGAACAACCTTCTAATAACCTGCCTTTCAGAATATGAAGAAAATCAGGCCCCTTTATAGTGTGTTTGGATGGGTCCAAAGATTACTGCTATTTTTTTTTAATTTTCCCAAAAGGTTAAAAACCAAATACTTTGATTCACATCAAATGAGTAACTATGCTGAAATCAATAAAGTCTGTCTGACTGACACCAGCTGGCAATCTAGTGCCTCTTTTCTATTTCTTTTAATAAAATACTTGGTTCATCTAGGGTATATGTTTAATATTGTCCTTTATTTCATGATTATGAATTCTCTTTGATGAGGAAGCAGCTATTTCTGTTACTGCAATGGGTTCTTACCAAAACAGAAAGAAAAGGGGCGGGAGGGGTATTTGATTTATTTGTATTTAAAAGGAATAACAGAATATCTCATTTTTGTACACACAAACTACTACAAATTGCTTAAAGAAAATAAAAACTGCTCTATCTAGTAAAAGAAAAAGAGCTTGTACCTTATGGTTAGATGCGCAGGAGGGAGGCGGGGGGAGGAACTAATTTATGTAACCAACAGATGGCCTGAGTTTACTCAAGTACTTTGCCTCTCTGAAACACTGCCTGATGGGGGTTGTACTGTCTTGTGGGAAGCAATGCTCGGCGCGCACACACACACACACACACACAGGAACAGGTCCAGCAGTAATTCACTGGCCAAGCTCCAACAGAAGGAGCTCAGAAACTATCGACCAGACTGATTCTACCAGCAGTGCCAGGTTTCTCGGGTTACAGCTCCAAAGTGGCCTTAAAGAGACATACCCATGTTCAGATCACCTGCTTGGTGATGCCCGGTTTTGATTATTCACAGGTCTGATGTGATTTTGATGAATGAAAACAGTGATGTTTGATCAGTCCTGTCATTCATATCACTCACATGCACTCCTGTTAGTTTCAATCAGTTTCGCTTTTGAGTGAACTGGAATTATGTCATTTCTTTTTCTTTATTTTTCCCCAAGAATAGAAAATGTTCTCCTAGCAACTGACTAATTAAAAGGAAAAAAAATAATTCTTTCTTTAGGGAAGAAAGCCTCAAAAATGTTATTGAAAATCCACCACCAGAAAAGACTTTGGGTCAGATCCTATTCTACCTATTTGGCACCTAAGGCCGCATCCAGATGAGCGAGCCTGTGCCTCTTGCAGGGTCTCAAAGCAGTTTGAGATGCCACAGGAGGCATGCTGCGAACAAAAAAAAAATGTTCTCTCTGCTACACATTTGCAGCATGGACCCTAAATTTGATACCAGGAAATCCCGGCATCAAAAAAAAACATGCCGGAAAAAAGCAGCGCAGGACACGCTCCTGGAGCATGCCCTGAAGCAACCGGAGGCCAGGTTCTCCATAGAGACACTCTAGCACCTGGCCAGAGCATCTCTATGGCTGCTGTATGTCCCTGTTGTTCCAGTACACTCCCTCAGCGTGCTGGGGCAACTAGGAGTGGGGCAAAGCTGTGCCGCGGCTTGGACCCAGGCACTGACCCATGTAAGTAGGGACACGGGGGTTGGGGGATTGTGTGTGTAGGGAGGCACTGTGGGTGTGAGTGGGTGGGTGGAGGACTGCTCAGGAGGTGTGAGCCCCCCTCCCACACCAGCAGCAGCCATCAGGGCACTCAGCTCCACTCCTGGCAGAGACTCCCGGCTGTGCGTCACCGCCTCAAACTGGTGGCTGTAAATGGCATTAGCCCAGCTTGACCCACACACCCTCAGGCAGAACCAGGCTGACTCCTGCTATCAGGCAGAAGCTGCATGCCCTCAGGCCAGGCCAGGCCAGGTCCTGCCTGCATGGACTCCCACAGTCCCCACAACATCCACACAGTTCCCCCCAACCACAAACTGCCCCATAATCCACCCACATATCTGCCCACAAACTCCATACCCACAACACCCCTCCCCCCTGCAATCCACCCACAAACCCCATCCCCTCCAACCCTCACCTCCTCCTTCCCCAAATCCCACATCCCCCTACAAATCTCACACTCTGTGTGCCCAGCCTCCGGACAGGATGGGACAGGACCTGCTGGCTGGAGCTGCAGCTTCAGGGGCAACTGCCACACTGCAGCCCTGCGCCATGCCCACACCAGTGCTGAGACATGCATCCCCGGCCTGTGGGGGCTCCTGGTCCCAGGAACTACTTTGGGGGGGGGGTGATAGGCTGGGGGAAAGGATGAAGGTGGCAGCAGGGGTGTGTGTAAGAGAAAAAATGGGGGTTGGAGTGTGGGAGAGCTCTGGATAGGACAGGCTGCCAGAGCTGAGCTAACAGTCACCCTGCCCTCCTAGAGCAGCCTGTGCAGGGGGAAGCTAGCTTGGAAGGGAAGGGGCTTACCCAGCCCAGCCCCTGACCCCCAGTTGAGGACTTCAGAGGAATGGCATGGGGATTGCTGGGCCTGGGCATAGGTGCAGGAAACAGAACCGCAAGGGCTGGCACTGCTCAGAGCCACAAAGCAATGGGTGGTACAGCTGCAGTTGGGCTCATGTCTTGGTGCTAGGACAGAGCTGCTGCTGGGAGGGAGCTAATGGGGGCTGCAGGTCCGGAGTGAGGGTCACTGGGCATATCAGTGCTGCTCAGTGCCCCATATCCTGGTGGGCAAAGGGGGCAGGGGCAGCTCTGAATTTTCTAGAATAAAAAAATCAAAAGCAAACACCAAAGTGTATATGCACTTAGAATTTGTTTTATTATGATGATAGAGGCACTGGTAGGATTTCAAATTGCTTTAAACTTATAAATATATCAGTAAAATATTGCCCAACTGATGTCTTTGGCATTTCATAGATTTCATAGACATTAGGGGTGGAAGGGACTTCGGAAGATCATCGAGTCCAGCCTCCTGCCCCAGGGGCAGGAAGTCAGTTGGGGTCATAGGATCCCAGCAAGATAAACATCCAAATGTCTCTTGAAGGTGTTCAAAGTAGGTGCTTGAACCACCTCTGGTGGCAGTTTATTCCAAACCTTGGGGGCTCGGACAGTAAAGAAGTTCTTCCGTATGTCCAGCCTGAAACGGTCATGGAGGAGTTTGTGACTGTTCAATCTTGTCATCCCTTGGGGTGCTCTGGTGAACAGATGTTTCCCCAGATCCTGGTGAACACCCCTGACAAACCTATAGGCAGCCACCAGGTCCCCCCTGAGCCTGCGCTTTTCCAGGCTGAAAAGTCCCACGGCTTCAGCCTCGCATCATAAGGTCTGTTTTCCTGACCTCTGATCATGTGCGTGGCTCTCCTCTGTGTGAGGTGTGGGGTGTGGAGTTTGTGGGCGGGCATTCTCAAGCTTCTCCACATCCTTTTTGAATTGTGGAGCTCAAAACTGGATGCAGTACTCAGCTGTGGCCTCACCAAGGCCAAGTACACTGGGAGAATGATGTCCTGGGATTTTCTTGAGAAGCATCTATGGATGCAAGCCAGTGTTTTGCTTGCTTTATTAGCTGCATCATCACATTGCAGGCTTATGTTCATCTTGTGGTCAATCCTGACCCACAAGTCCCTTTCGTCCATAGTGCTAGCCAGCGTAGCACTGCCAAGCCTATAAGCATGGAGAACCTTGCATTTTTCAGTGTTAAACACCATCAGGTTCTCGTCCGCCCATTTCCTGAGCTTGGTCAGGTGTTTTTGCTTTGTTTCTGTGCTTTAATTCTGCTGCAAACTCTTCTTTTTTTATGGCCTATTTTTTAGCAAAAAGACCTGTTCCAGCAACCATGTGATTCCATAAAGCTGTGTTGGGGAAGCCAGCAGGGATAAGTCGACCTCCTTAGGAGGAGTTGATTAATCGCTGAAGAACATGGATAATTTAATGAAAGAAATTGGGGGCTTATATCAGAGAATTTGCCGTTTTTAAACAGGCAACACCAGGATCCCTGCTGGTGAGGCAAGTGGCAAGACCCGGGCAGAGGAGCTTGCCAGTGCTGGAGACCCAGATGGAGAGCAGATGAGGTGGCTGACCTGGCCACTTGGGGCCAGGAGGACAAACTTCAACAACTCAAAGTGGGCTATCGGAAGGAGCACATCTTCTGGCCAATAGCTACCCAGATGGAAGACGGGGGACACCAGAAAGCATGACACCAGC